GAAATTTATAGTTACGGCAGCAAAATATTTTTAGCAAACCATGATTAGCTACGGTAGCGAAATGTTTTTCTCAGTGTAGTAACTTCATGTTCATGAAATACAGTTTTTAAAACATACCAGAACGTATAGGTCCTACTGGACGTAAAAGAGTTGATATATAAGATTAAAGTAATCAGACACAAGCAATGATATACTCATAAACTCGAGGAAATTGATTTTCTCAAAGTCTGAGATCGTGTTGTGAACCTTTCTACGAGAATATACTTCATCAAGCCGTCGTTGTAAATCGTTTATTCGGTCTTTAATCGAATCCGCGCAATCATCTGACATAACATAAAAACGATCAACGAGAGGAAAACGTGAGATCGATGAAGCGAGGGTGCACTAGGTCGCAAAGGGAAGATCCACCCATGACGAAGGAATTGGGTTACTCGAGTAGTGGATGCTAAAAAATTCGTAAAGGGCGAAAGAATGGCGTTGGATGAAAGTGCCGCGCGTAGGTGAGCGTCGTAACGCCGGGAAGAGAAGGTGGAAAGTCATTATTGCGACAAAGGAGATCGGAGCAATCGAGGCTCGCTTGGTTCAAGAAGCCTATCAGTAAGCTTCAGCCGCGACTAAAGAAGCTTCCGACGATTTGAGTGTCGTACCTGAGGGAGAGGACGGAGTCCAACTCGAAAAATTGGTGGGAAAATTCTCGAGAAGGCGCCGGACTTGTTTTGGCGCAGAGAGAGAGAGAGAGAGGGGGGGGGAGAGAAAATTTACAATCTTTACGCGGTAATACATATGTAACTCAAGGTTTCATTTTAAAACGCGTGAAAAATTCACTCGCTCTTGCGTATTTTTTCCCAAAACACACCAAAACGCGATGAAGCTGGACTCGCGAGGCGGATGAGAAAACGCAAACTGCATTCGCAACAGAAAAATTCGCGAGAGAGAAATTCCGACGAGAGTGTTGTGAATAAAGGGAAGGATCGCTGAGAGTTAAACGGACTTTTCGAGCAACGCTCCGAGGTGAGATTCCCGCGAAAGAGGAGAATTATGGTCCCGTGGGATCGGAAGAAACGGGCACGGAATTACAACCCCGATTTGTTTTCACTTTCTTTTAACGCTTCCGTCTCCCTACTTCGCCTTTTTCGATTTTGCACACAAAAAACGCTTCCGGTTTGAAACACCGGCCTTTCACTTTTAGTGGTTTTATTTATTTATTTTTTTTACCATTTTGTTTTTCTCCACTCTATTGTGAGGTTTGCATGCGCGCTTCACAGTCGTCTCTATTTTGCACGGGTAATTAGTTTTCTCGTTCGTTTCCTGCATCCCTTTTTATCGGCCTCGCCATTCCCTTTGTCGGTTCGGTCTTTTGACTAGATCAAACGCGCGGAATCCCAAAATGAAGTTTGTCGAACGATCGGGAGTTGATGGGCATTTGGTTCTAAAATGTTAGGCTCTTCATTTTCACTGCGATCCGATAGGAATACGATAAAAGGGATTTCTCATCGAAGAGAAATATCTACGCGGATGATGATAACATACATATATCGTAGTTGACTAATTATACTAATTAACTTGTTTCTACACTATTCTTAGATTTTAAATACAATCGATTCTAAAAGATAAAAGCTACACGGTCAACAAATGGAAAAAGCAAGAGCTAATAAATAAAAAATGTATGATATAGAGGAAAGTCCTCTATTATGCGATAGCAGGTTTTCAACACCCAAAATCAATCACAAATCTTTTTTCGCAACAATTACACGATCTAACAATTAATTTTCCACTTAACAGATTTCGCTCCAAGGACAATAAATTCATGATGGAATCAACCGATGGTGCCCACTAATTTAACAGAAACCCCTCTATCCCATATTAGGATCCCATCGTATAATAGGGCACTTTTCTCTATTGTTGATATTTATAATAACACTTAGTCCCACTTTTATCTCAAGTCTTTATTTTCTGGCTTGAGATCTCAGCCGCGCCGTGTCAAAGAATATAATCTGGCATTTGAACGGTCACCCCAACAAAGGCGTCAGATAAAATGCAACCGTTAAAAACTTTCCAATATTTGGATGCCTGACCTATGGCGAAACCGCGAACGTAGAATCTAGCCTGCGCTTGATGCCGTGTTATCGGCGTTACACATGCAACGGTATCCGACAACTATCCGTACGACAGATATTCGTTTTCGCATCAGGCATTAAGGGGTCTTCCCGCGGCCTCTCGAACTTTCGCCTGCGGATGAGAGACACGTAAACTTCCGCTATTGTCTCCAGTCTCTCTGCCCCGATTTCCGGTTTCCTACATGATAAGCGTCGAACATGTCGCTTGTTCCGGACACGTGACGCACGCGACGCCGCGCCGACTTCTAATGAGTTTCGATTAACCGGCCGACACGCGAACGCAAGTATTGCGTCAGTCTCGTATTAACGTGATTTTAGATCTGCTGTTGAATGCAATTCCCTCACATATCAGAGAAATATTGAATGTTTAAAGCGACCGAAGTCGTGATACATGCGATCCATAAGTACAAGATTATTTCATCTCGTAAATTTACGAAATTTATAAAAATTTGCGTATCAATTTGTATATTTATTTAATTTCTCAACACAATAGTTCGTTAACTGTTTTGGTTAATTATTAAAAAATTTAACTAAAAAGAATATATATATATCATTACGCAATAATATTGTGCAATTTTTTGGTATCGCATTTTATTCGCATTTCGTGTACTTTCAAACTGACTTTAAACGTCGGCCTCCAATTTGAGATACGAATCTGCATTATTTCTCGGAGAAAATTATTTTAAATGAATATTATAAAGCAAGAAAATATTTAAACGCGAGTGAAACAAACTGAAACGGGAAAAAGAATAAATATTACCATTGCCAATATTTGATGTGTGTAAGCTTATTGCAACATTATATATGAACACTCATCGAGTGTTTTATTTATGTTAAAACACACATTAGCGCACTCCAGTTACTGATAAAGCAGCGGTCGTGGAGTATTTAACATGCAAAAACATGCTGTGTAATTTAACAGCCTCGCACAAAAGCAGTATCATAACTTTACTGGGTATAAAGTTTTTTATATATCAATCTCTTCTTCTCGATATTGCGCTCAAAATACATACACGGCGCTGTTAGGAAAAGTAAAAACCGTTGGTAGGGTCACAATAAAATTGTCCTATATTATTATTTCACGCTTTAGAAGTAAAATGACTAATCAATAGGCAATTTTCTACTAGAATTAATCTATAAATTAATTAATCATCTACTGGCGATAATTAAAATTCACACTTAAAGTGACTTTAATTAGCTTAAAATCACATTATGTAACAAAGGGACTCGAGTCTCTCTATAGATCACGAAAAAGTATTTGAGTCATCAGGGGGCCAGCATCAGAATTCCTGACAACCGTAGTTGCGATAATTCTACGGTAGCAGGGTGGAGTTTAATCACTGATCATCTCCAGAGTTTCATCATCTGCTGTATCGATCAGTAATGTCCCTTACTGATGACTGATTTCTCTGCCTCTCTAGCTCTCTTATGTACTATCGTTGACCGATTCTTTCTTACGAGTTTAGCTAGCTTCTCTGTGACATCTAGTGGCGAATGGACGAAGCACATTGCCGTGGCTCACTCTACATGTGTGCACCGTCTACGGACTTGTGTGGGTGCCGCACGTGTTCGCGATTGAGGCACGAGTAGATAGATTTTGCAAGACTCGATCCGCTCGCGCGTAAATATTTCATGAGTTCCTCTGACGTGCTGACTATGCTGAATCATTGCATTTTTAGTGAAATATTTTAAGAAGGGACCAACAGCCGAAAGGTGGAAAAAACCGATCGCGTATTCTCTTGCGTAATATCTTTTATAATATAACGCGTATCGCAAACTGTAGAATCGAAAAGTAAACGGTTTTTCATACGAGAATAAAATAAAAAAACAATGTTAGAAAGAGCGAATATATTATTAATTTTTTTTATTTTCAAAGTCTTGAGAACAAAAGCCTCGACAGATGTGATTTTATATTTCCGATTTATATGTAAACAAAAGGATTCGCCCTTCTATCGTAATACGATTTCGATACACTTTCTTTATTATTTTTTCTCTACATTCCTAGGCTTAAAAATGAAGTTTCCATGTATATTATCACAGCCATATCCGGCAAGTGAAAGGTTCCAGTTTCGAATCCTGGATACCGTATTACGAAACTTGTCGAAGTGACAAATTAATAAAATTCGTATGGCTCAAATGGGATAAACACAAATTTGAAGGAACAAAGGACTGAGAGCCGTGACAGGGTGTTAGTGCTTAAATATTTCATATTTTAAATTTATTGCGAAAAATAACCTCAGCCAGGGCTTGAACCTGGACCACCCTCTCGCTAGGCGGGCGTCTCAACCAATTCGACCACCGTGGCACACGGAAATAATCGCAACAAATACTCTAGTGTTGACTCCCGGATGCCACCTATCGTGACACTATTCGAAAACGAGAACTGCGCGCCGACTTAAATCGTCAAGTCTTAAAACACAGTACAATCATCCCCGCAATGTATCCCCATTATTACCCGCCCACCCAACCAAATAATTAAATGAAGGTAAGAAACGAGTGTTACGTCCGCATAAATTAACAATCTTCGAAGTGAATTTCGATCGGAATTGTTTAGCTATGGATTAAAATTAAAATCAACTTTTTTTTTGTTTATTTCAAAAATATCTCTACAAAACCACATTATGGAACGACCCCAATACGTTATAATACATAAAAAAAAATTCGCCCCCGGGTGGGCTCGAACCACCAACCTTTCGGTTAACAGCCGAACGCGCTAACCATTTGCGCCACGGAGGCTGTTGCCTACCTCAATACTTCATATTATATTTCTACATATGTATAGATACATACATACAAATGACACAATTTGTTTATTTCAGGAATATCTCTAAAAAAACCACATTATGGGACGATCCAATACGTTATACAATATAAAAAAAAACTCATCCCCAGGTGGGGGCTCGAACCACCAACCTTTCGGTTAACAGCCGAACGCGCTAACCATTTGCGCCACGGAGGCTGCTGCTCCGCGGGTTACTTCATATATTAGAGATTTGAAATTTTTTTAACTCTTAACATGTTATATAATAAAAGAAAGAATTTACTTGACATTCGTCAGATACATGTTGGAAATAAATCTATTCTGTCAATCAACATATCTGACGAATATCAAGTAAGTTTTTTTCTTTTATTGTATATTAAGAGTTAACAAAAATTTTTAATCTCTTCCTGAGATGAAAGATAGTTGTGCTACGCAGCCGTGCAATTGTGAAATAATTCGAAATAGAGAAAGATTGAAAAATGTGCTTGTCAGACCACGAATACGCCGTTTTTTTATCATTTTGACGCCATTTGTAAGAGCAAAAATAGTATTTTTCCGAAACTACCATTATCTATTGATTGCCTGTCGACCCGCGATGAGAAACAAAAAACGAGTGCCTCTTTTATCGTCAGATGTTCAGCCTGTGGCTGAAAATATGCAAAATTGGCGTGCAATAATCCAAGCATACGTCACAAAAATAAACGCGATAAAGAGACCGGCCTGCAGTGAATAAAATCCAAATGTGTGAAACCGGAAAATCGCGTAACGTTTGTCCTTACAGTTTCACTGACAATGTTTGTATTGAGTATTGAAACCGTTGTACTTTCAGCAAATTTCAATTTTGATATTATAGACACGCGAAATGGATCTCTGTGTTTATTCGTGGCGATGAAAATGCGATAGCTTCAGTTACATTTATTTTTTCGTATCGACAAAAAAATTCGGCGGGGTATACGTGTATGCATAGATATGCGTAGCATACATATGTGTATAGAGGAAAGTCCCCGATTATGAGATAGGCTTCTACCATAATACGAGATGGCAGGTTTTCAACATCCAAATTCAATCACAAAAATCCCTTTTCGTATGGTTTTGTCTCTAACTTATTCGAATGCTCGTTCGAATCATTTGAATAAATAAAATAAAAATTCAGAACAGATACTGTATTTTGCTCAAGTAGCAAATAAT